CCGATACCTCGGTCCTCGCACTCCATGTGCGAGAACGCAGAGAGAAATGAAAGCCGTCCGGCTCACAAGTCCGGCTCACGCGCCCCGAGCTGACCCTCTACCGCACTGGTCACTTCCGCCCCCTCGCTCCCAACCCATCCACCTCGCCTCGGGCCGCGCCGCGCGATCTCGGGCGATCTCGCGCAATCTCGGGCGATCTCGGGGCCGCGCCGCGCTATCTCGGGCGATCTCGGGGTCTCCCACCCTCCTCCCCTTTAGCCTCTCACAGTTTTGCGACAGTGGGGGGTGAGTGCGAATTTCCGCAGGGTGTGTGCGTAGGGGGAACCGCACATTGTAGAGATGGTGGGTGGGATCTTCGCACGGGGCAGACCAGCGTCCTTGGTAATAGCATCTTGCGTCGTTGTACCCCCGAATTTCGCACTCGCCGCTGGCAACTCGTGTATCGTAATGCGTCAGCTGGCGTCGCACTTCCTCCGCAGTCGTAGTCTTGTGCAGTTCGCTCAGATCGACCTCCACCAGACCGTCGTCTTCGCCGAGCTTGCGCCGTGCGCCGGCACCTTCGGTGGCCGGCGCACCTGCCACGCAGCTCACCGAGAGCGCGGACAGCGCAGCCGCGAGGACGCGCATATGCGCGAGCAATACCGGCGCGGCACGCGATCCAGCCGGTGATCCAATCCAGCCGGTGATCCAGTCCGTTCAGTCCAAACTGAAGCGCAGCATGACTGCACCATAGTTTGTGACCGTCGGCCTTTTCATTCGACGCAACGCCACCCGAACGCGCCGCTCTAAATCCAGAGATGCATGCGCGCGGACGCGGCGGCGGCGGGCCGCCCACGCTCGACGCTGCAGGTGCAGCACTAGGCACAGGCAGCTGAGCGCTCTCTCACAAAAACGGTGTTCACGCATCACGGGAAAGGGTCAAAACGCGCGAGCATTCAATGAGTGACGACTGTGCGCGCATATGCATTTCCCGGACAAGAGTCGCGCGCGCAACACCCGCGGCAGACCACTGCGGTGCACGAGCGGGCTGGCGCCGCATCGGCGAAGAGGGAGAGTCCCTGTACGCCCCCCCCCGGCGGCGGGGCATCTGCCGCAGCCGGCTGTACTCGCCCCCCTCCCCCCCCTCCCAACCCGCCCCCCCTAGCTATTACGTGCCCGCCAACACCTGCCCCCCCCTCCCC